TTTGGGCAGTTTATTTCTTTATTTCCATTTCTATTTTCTACATACAGGAAAGACAAAACAGTATCTTGTTCATGATCGCAGGCTCTGAGTTCTCTTATTACCTATATTCAAGTTTGGGCTGTGGTACATAAGAAATTGTATTTCTGTGGGCAAGTTACTTTCTCCAAGTCTGTTTCCTTATCAGAAAGTATGGAATCATAGTAACAATTTCCAACTTCAGGAATAAATTCCTTAACCATAGTTACTGTTTAAAAAATATTTTTGTATATTCTAAAATCATTACTCAACCTAAACCCACAAATCCATTTACCCTTTGTCCATTATATTGAGCATTGACAATATACTACACATTTTCTCATTCAGATATTAAAATGGTCATATTATAATTTCTATGTTTGTATACATCTGTGGTTTGACTCAGTAAGAATAAGTTACTATCATTTGATTAAAAATGTTCAACACTCAGGTTTAAACTTCAGGTTTCTAAATCTAAATGGAAAAATCCTTTATGAAAAAGAAATCCTTTATGAATCATAGAAGTTGCTTTATATCCTTAAAAAGAATGGTGATTGCAAAACAATAGTTAGATCAAAATAAAGTAGAAATTTTGGGATCAGGGCAGAAACTACTTTTTTTATTTTAAAATTTAAGATGGCAAAAGTTTGCAAATTTCTGTAATTTTTTTTTTTACATTAAAACCTGCTCAGCAATGTAACCTTTTATTTTAAACCACCTTTTTCAACTGTTTCAGGGAACATGGCTGTAATGACCTGATGAAGCAAATGTGTCCACTTCCTTTTTTAAGTTTTTGAACTTGTCCTTACTAGTTTGAAATTTAAAAAAAAAAAAAAAATTATGCATGCATTTTCCATTTTTGATTTTCATAGATTTTCACAGAATGATAGTATAACTTCCTGAATCTTTTGAAAAATATTATCGTGATTAAAGACCTGGCCTTTCTCCTTATATTGTGGAGATGGGATATAAATGAGATCTCCTCCCTCTGTATTAGCCCACGGAGCCAGGCATGCTAACGGTGGAAACGATTGACTCAAATCTTTTGTGAAATGGAAGAAGCTGAAGCATGCATTTGTTAATAATAGTTGATTTTAAATATTGGCATATTTAAACAAAAACTTTTTATCTCAAACAGAACATAAAAATCTAGCTAGCTGGGGGGGTGGGGGGGGGACAATCGGGGGATAAGGACACATTTGTAATACCTTGATCAATAAAGAAAAAAAAATCTAGCTAGCAATTGATTTCTGTATTTTAATGTTTCGTCCACTGCTTACTATTTAAGTAGGTACTTTAGAATAAGGTACCTTGAATTTATTCACAGGCCCTAGAAGTCTAAATAAATAAATAAATAAATAAATATCATAACAAATATTTCTCATCCTAGACAAACCTTGGAGCCAGGGTCCTCCCCCCACCCCCCCCAAGTCAGAGGGCAGACTTACACACAAACCCCAGTATTGCCAGGCCAGTCAGCAGCACCAGGCACAAAATGACCAGGATCAAGGCCACTGGACGCCATGCTGAAGAGGGAGGTGGCTGCTCTGCAGGGAACAAAAGAAAAGACAGGGTGTTTTTTGTGTGCGTGTTACCTTGTTTTTTTTTCTCTTGGATGTATGTCAGCTGCAAGCAAGTGAGAGGAGTTGGTTCTGGGAAAGAACAAATCCTGCAGAACAATAGCACTCAGGGACTAGATAACATTCTTTCTGCCCCCAGAAACATGACCGTAATGCTCTAGGCCAAGCCTCATGTTCCCTGGCTGGATTCTTCTTACCAGCCCCGCCCATTTCTATCCCCCACACCCACACAGTCTTACTCTGCAGTGAATCAAGTTATGCATTACTATTATCTTTATATATCTTTGTTTGTATAACTTTATTTTAATCAAAATTTGAGTTACAAAAGAATCTCATGTGAATGCCTGAAGGAGGAACAGTTTTTTACATCATCAAAGAAGAGATGAAATTAATTTCTTGTCACTTTTGCAAAATACCATCCCTCCCAAGTTTCATATGCTTCTTCCAAAACGCAAATTGCATATCAGTAATGAGAAATTATTTTACTGTTTCTCTTAGGGACTTCTTTATTGAAAGTCCCTCTTTTGTGAAGGTTTTATTTGTTCTTTCAATGTAGAGCTCTCCAAAAATAGATTATAGAGAAACAAATCATTGCCCTGGCCACTGTGGTTCAGTTAGTTGAGCATCATACAGTGCACCAAAAAGTTGCCAGTTGGATTGCCAGTTAAATTTCTGGCCAGGGCATATGCCTGGGTTGTGGCCAGTTCCCAGTAAGGCGTGTGCAGGAATCAGCCGATCATCTTTGTCTCTCATCGGTGTTTCTCTATCTCTCTTCCTCTACCTCCTTTCTCTATAAAAATCAAAAACATATTTTTTAAAAAAAAGAAAAGAAAAAGGAACATGATCATCATTTTCTCAAGGATAGATCCAAGCTATCTCAATTTTGAGCCAATCCTATATAAAAAAGAGTTAATATGCTAATTAGACTGAACAGCAGAATAA